ATATTCTTAGTGGTAGACGGATCATGGGATAGAGTCCCCCTTCCCATCAAGCTAATCGTGAGAAGTTTTCGTGATTTTCCTTTCCATGTAACTCAAATGCGGGTAAGTTCCCTCAAAAAGTCCTCCACGAAGGCAAATTTCGCCCTATACTTGATCTAGTAATTCCCTTGTCTTTCNAAATATGTGAACTGTTTGCAATTTCAAATTAATATTGAAATGCACAGGTTTAGAATTTTCTACAGTGAAAAGCTTTCGGAACTTCAGTGTTCAAAAAAGTATACAAAAGCTAGACATTAAGAATGTATCCAATGAGCGAGCAAAGCGAGCATCGGATTGCGAAGTAATCCGAAATGAATTGCGAAAGCAGTTCATTTCGGGGGTTGGCGAGTGCCAGCGAGCAGGGGGCTAAGCCTCCTAGTTACTATTATTACAATAAAAATATTATGGTAGGATCATATTTAAACCACCTACTGAAAACAATATTGAAGAGCTTTTGCAATTATTTTAAATCATATTTAATTTTTTGATCCTCGAAAAAAATCATTTTTAATTTATTTAAACTTTCAAATCAATGTTTATTTAGATTAACTTTCTTTTATCCTTTGTCTGTAGCCACTGGCTTTTTTTTTAGTTTGTAAATTCTTCTTTCCTGGAAATTCTTCTGAATTTTTTTTTTTTTATCTTTGATAAACTTAAAATAAAAATTTGGTTTGAGGGCAGGCCAGAGATGTAAGCTCTATATTAAAATAATTTATTATTTTATTGTAAACAGTATGTATTTACATCATAATTAAGAAATTTTACTGAAATAATTTAATTATATTAAATGTACCATTTGCCGAATGCTATTATGCTGACTATTTGTTTTGAACATTGTTTTATTCAAATTATTGCGGTCAACCATTTTTAAGACCACTTATTGGAAAGCTTCAATTTTAAAAACTTTTGAAAACATTTTACCGTAACATACGCATGATGTTGATATCATTTTAATTTTCGAATCTTTGTTCTAACTCAGGGGTTTCCAACGCACATGTGGCAGGGGGCTGCAATTAAAAACACCAGTCAAATGGCGGGCCACAATTTTATCAAAATTTTACATAGGACTCTTTTATGTTTGAAGGAACATTAAATATTACTGTCAGATTTTTATAAAAGTTTTTTAATATTAAAAAGCAAAATAACAAGCATTACAAATAATGCTTATTACGTATCATTTTGAATCTGCTCTTAATCAGAAACTTAGTGACAAGATATTTTTTCCTTTTAAATTTAATTCTGGGATAAATTAACATTATTTTCGACTTTTTAGGAATTATAGCAACAAAAAAAATTCTCGAGCATCTGAAATTAATTTTTTTTTCTTTTCCGCTCATACGATATTCAATTCAAGGAATTTAAGTAAAATATGATATTCATTCCCTCTTTTATGTGTTTTAAAATTCACAAATTTCGTCCAAAATGAGTGATTTCAAAAAACTGACTGGAAGAATTTATTCGAGAAAATTTCTGATACGCACATGCTAAATTATATTCACAAAATACAAAAAAAAAATTAAATAAAAAAAAGAGCAACATACACGATTATTTTTGTATTTGAATAAATATTTTCTTGGATGCAAAACCTGAGAAATAATTAATTTTGCACCATTGGTATGTTAAATTTCACAGAAACGAAGAAATTAGGTTTCTTTAAACGAGTATTTTAAATCCATAGAGATTTTTTATGAAAATTGTCCGCAAAAAAATGACAACTAATATATTTTAGTTCACGTGCCACAAAAAAAGGCTTCGCGGGCAGCCAGTTGGTAACCACTGTTCTAACTGGTTACATACTATATTAACATAATGCTAACTCAAAAATAGTTAACTTCAGGTTCATTATCAAATAACAGGTAGATCATGTGACATGTAGACCATATTTATTCGATTTTTTTTCGGTAAGGAATATTCATTATAAGCATCAAGTGCTTTTTTTTATTAAAAAAATTGATTTTTTTAGAAATATGAATAGATTTTCATGTCCTCAGGATCTTTTATTAGAATGTGGTTCTGGTATCTACAGTCCCTGGTCAAATTAATAGACGCACTATAAGATTCTATATAAAATCTTAATTATCAGGTGATACTTTACAGATTTATTGTGTTTACGTGACTGAAACCGGTTTGCACTTGTTTACGTTCGTGTATCAATTGGTTAGATTAGACCAGGGGTCGCCAAACTTTTTTGATCATCGACCCCTATATAATTTTTCGAAATCCCCATCGACCCCCCACAAAAGTAATTTTCTGTTAATTAAAATAAAACTCTATTAGATACTGTGTTTGTACATTTATTTTATGATTTTAAACATTTATTAAAGTAATAGTACATTGTGTAACAATAGTTTTATGAAAAATATATTAATATTGAAATTTAAATACCTTATTATTAAATAATAAGTAATTATGCATAAGTAGATATAATAAGTAAAGTAACTAAAGATTTACTGCTTCTTGATCAATGAGATGGGTGTGCCTGGTGTTTTTTTGCAAGGTTCGCTATATTGGGTTCAAAATTGGTCAATTTTAATTTTCGTCAAAATTGGTCAATTTTGTAATTTTCGTAAAAAAATACAAAGTGTGCTATAGTTTTGTCGCGGGCTGTACTAATCCATATTATTAATGCTTACCTTCTTTTTTGTGCATTGATAATTAAAATTGATATCTAAACCAAACGAATGGTTTTATCGAAACAATAACTAATTATCCAAAACTATAAAAGTTTTAATAATGACACTGCAAATATTCAACACAGTTTGCAAAGATAGCTGAAACTGCGTATGATATTTGCATTTGTAACGTCAATGCTCGTCACACGTGACATTTGGACAAGCGCACATATGCATATGACTTATAAACTGCGCTGAGTTCGTGCCACTGCGCGGTGGTACGTAAATACTTGTTTCACCCCAATAAATATACGTTTATTAATTTATGTTTTATAAAGAAACTGATATTGAGTCAATTATAAAAAAAATTCACAAATTTTACATTCTTAAATTGGTATGTGTGATTTGCGTATTTAGAACTGTTTTTTCTTTTGACCCACAATCGATCCTTCCGATTCGGATCGACCCCCATTCGCCCCCTTGTCTCAAATCGACCCCCGCTTTTGTTAAATAGACCCCTGGGGGTCTATATAGACCACTTTGGCGACCTCTGGATTAGACGATAGATAATGTGAATCAGACTATTGGATAAATTGGACGATATATTTTATAAATATAGAATATTTATTATATCAGATATTACATTAGTATAGTATAATAATTAGACCAAATTATTAGACGCACTTTAGTTTTCTAATAATTACGTGTTTTGCACGAGTTTATAGGCAATACTTTTATATTTAAACATACATGTAATGGGTTTTTATTCAGGAGATTTTTACATACTTCCTATTTGTATTTATTTTGAACGTAATGCATTACAATGTTAATCAATTGATACATGAACGTAAACAAGTGCAAACTGGTTTTAGTCGCTTAAAAACGATAAAGCTGTATAGAGTATCACCTGATAATTAAGATTTTACATAGAATCTTATAGTGTGTCTAATAATTTGGTCAGGGACTGTTTATAGAGAAGGCAAAGGGAATCATTCAAATGATTCGAATTAAGCAAATCAGCTCATTAAAGGGATTCAAATCATGATTTCAAATTCGATTATTCAAATCAGTAGGGCCGATCTCCGATAATGAATCGATATATACCAATATTTACTGCCAAATATTATATAAAAAGAGTTCTAGACTACGGGATATTTTATTAAATTCTGATTTTACATTTGAAGTTAGTATCTAAAGTAAGGCAAAACGAATCATCCAAACGATTCAAATCTTGCGAATCAGACCTAGTTGGGACAAATTAATAAGTAATTAACGGTTCAAATTAATCGATTCCTTTCAAAAAATATATGTAATGGGAACCACAAACTTAGTAAACTATCTTCGCTTTTCTCATTAGCGTCCTTTCTTTTTAAAACTAGTTAGAACTTGATTTAATAAAGATTCTGAAAATCATGATTTAATAAAAATAAAAGTATTCGTACCCAAATGCTATAAAGCGAGCTTTGGTTGCTCAGGGTATAGAGGGCACGCTTCCATTAGAAATCTTGCTGTCTATCCCAGTGAACTCGGTTCGAATCCCAGCTAAGGCCGGTTGATACGAATTCTGCCCCCACCTCGCACCGACTATAGTGCTGGCGTAAAAATATTCTTAGTGGTAGACGGATCATGGGATAGAGTCCCCCTTCCCATCAAGCTAATCGTGAGAAGTTTTCGTGATTTTCCTTTCCATGTAACTCAAATGCGGGTAAGTTCCCTCAAAAAGTCCTCCACGAAGGCAAATTTCGCCCTATACTTGATCTAGTAATTCCCTTGTCTTTCGGATTGCGTTCAAAATTACAAGGTTACGTAGTTGAACATTGGTAGTCGTAAGCCAAGAATTGGGTCGGATGTTTAACTATGGTTATAAAATGAAATAGATAAACCCTGAGGACACTAAAAATCAAAAAGTCAGCTCCTTATTAAAATTAATTTTTTTCTTAAAAAAAAAAACTTCAGCCTAGTTATTAATTATTTTGCCTACATCAAAATTTTTAAAAAAAATTATTAGCCGATTGTGAACTTAGATCAACTACAATTCTGTAAAAGAAATTTTTTTTGAATTTTAAGTTTCAAACAAATTTATCAGTAATATACTTTAAACTTTTAAATATTTACAACAATGCTTCACATGAAGCGTTTACAACAATAATAAACTATTACAGAAATATAAAAAAAAATTATGTCGTGGACATTGTTTTAACAATCAGTGCTTTTCTTTAAGACATTGTTGGAAAAATAAAAGTATCTGATTACAATGGTAATAAATACATTGAAAATTCATTCTTGTTTGAGCTTTCTCAAATGCGGTTTGTGTTTTGCGATTAAAAAAAAACTTATTGAGTTATAATTATGAATCAAAGCGATTTATATCGTTTTGCTGTGTTGAACAACTGGCGGAAGGAACGGGAAAAATATCCCAGACCTAATCGTAAGCATAAAAAAAGTACTTTTTGTAATTTTAACTATAGTTAGATATCTAAATGGAATACTGCTTGATACAATCTAAAACTTATGTATAGTAATCAGCGTGTTTTACGGAAACCTAAATTTAGATTTAAAATAATAGAGAAATCGTTTACGTAAAAAACTAGAAAACTCTTTATATATTATAAATAATACTATTTTGTTTTAAACTTCCATATTTTTCTCCACACTTTTTCCACTCACTCATTTAAACTTAACTCGAATAAAAATATTTAGTTACATGGTAGTATTAAGAGAGGTACTTTGGAAATATTCCGTCGACCAGTCAACGTTCGCAAAAATGCGCAAATCAATTGGCACCTTCATAATGAAAAGCATCATAATCCCAAAGTACGAAAATGGTCGATGGGATAATCCAAAAGCACCTTTGAAAAATATTCAAATAAAAATTTAGGATAAATAAAATGTAAAACTTATCTTTTGAGTAAAACTCAAACATCTTCTCTTTAATTAGTAACTAATAAATTTAATAAATAAAATCACCACCTTAGCAATACAATCGATACAAAAAATATTTTCTTAAAAATCATGTTTTTTGTCTGCCACAGAATGAAACAACCAATTGTTTTGGCGATTTCATTGGCACTTCAACCGTATTACTCTTTTGGCGAAGAGGTAATGTCAGTCACAAAGTACAAAATGGATAACCAACTAATTGTTTTGGCTATTTAATTGGCACTTCAATTGTATTACTCTTTTGGTGAAGAGGTAATGTAAGTACAGGATAAACAGGAAATGAAACACCACAGAATGAAACAACTAACTGTTTTGGCGATTTCATTGACTAATGTAAGTCACAGGATAAACAGGAAATGAAACACCACAGAATAAAACAACTAATTGTATTGGCGATTTCATTGGCACTTCAGTTATATTTCTCTTTTGGCTAAGAGGTAATGTAAGTCACAGTATAAACAGGAAATAAAACACCAGAATGAAACAACTAATGTTTTAGCGATTTCATTGGCACTTTAATTGTATTACTCTTTTGGCTAAGAGGTGATGTGAGTCACAAAGTACGAAATAGATAACCAACTAATTGTTTTGGCGATTTCATTGACACTTTAATTGTATTACTCTTTTGGTGAAGAGGCGATGTGAGTCACAAAGTACGAAATAGATAACCAACTAATTGTTTTGGCGATTTCATTGACACTTTAATTGTATTACTCTTTTGGTGAAGAGGCGATGTGAGTCACAAAGTACGAAATAGATAACCAACTAATTGTTTTGGCGATTTCATTGACACTTTAATTGTATTACTCTTTTGGTGAAGAGGCGATGTGAGTCACAAAGTACGAAATAGATAACCAACTAATTGTTTTGGCGATTTCATTGACACTTTAATTGTATTACTCTTTTGGTGAAGAGGCGATGTGAGTCACAAAGTACGAAATAGATAACCAACTAATTGTTTTGGCGATTTCATTGACACTTTAATTGTATTACTCTTTTGGTGAAGAGGCGATGTGAGTCACAAAGTACGAAATAGATAACCAACTAATTGTTTTGGCGATTTCATTGACACTTTAATTGTATTACTCTTTTGGTGAAGAGGCGATGTGAGTCACAAAGTACGAAATAGATAACCAACTAATTGTTTTGGCGATTTCATTGACACTTTAATTGTATTACTCTTTTGGTGAAGAGGCGATGTGAGTCACAAAGTACGAAATAGATAACCAACTAATTGTTTTGGCGATTTCATTGACACTTTAATTGTATTACTCTTTTGGTGAAGAGGCGATGTGAGTCACAAAGTACGAAATAGATAACCAACTAATTGTTTTGGCGATTTCATTGACACTTTAATTGTATTACTCTTTTGGTGAAGAGGCGATGTGAGTCACAAAGTACGAAATAGATAACCAACTAATTGTTTTGGCGATTTCATTGACACTTTAATTGTATTACTCTTTTGGTGAAGAGGCGATGTGAGTCACAAAGTACGAAATAGATAACCAACTAATTGTTTTGGCGATTTCATTGACACTTTAATTGTATTACTCTTTTGGTGAAGAGGCGATGTGAGTCACAAAGTACGAAATAGATAACCAACTAATAGATTTGGCGATTTCATTGGCAATTCAGTTGCATTTCTCTTTTGGCTAAGAGGTAATGCTAATCACGGGATGAACAGGAAATTAAAACTTACAGAAGGAAATTAATAAGTAAAAATAGTTTATCTCTAAAAATATTATACAAAAAACTTTTAGTAATTATACGGATACTTATCCATTTCAGAGGCCGTAAAAAATCGCCGAACCATTATTGATATAAAAGAGGCTTAATTAACTGTAGTTATAAGCGTTACTGGTGCAGCAGTTTTTTAATATACTAGTACAGGAAACCTAATATAGTTACTGTTGCAATAGGATTTTTACGGCAACCAGGAACAGATAAATATCATTTAAAAGTAGAATTCAAACTGAATAATATGATATGAGATTTAAGGAATTTACCATATTTGTTCAGAATATTTCATCCTTTATTTTCCTTGTGCATTCCATTCTTTATTTCATTCTTGTTATTCACTTGACCAAATACATAACTTAGAATCGTCAAATGATAATCAGGTTATCTTCCAAGAGACAATCACTTGCGTTTCCAAGATTACATAGGATAAACACTCTTGAGAGTTTTGCAGTGTTTCTCGGAGATCAAAATTGAGGCTTCTGAAACAGAAATGAAACATTCTATATTAAAAAAAAACTACAGAAGCAAAAAAGAAATATGTATAACCACATTTGTTTTTAGAAACTACGTTTCTATTTTTTGAATGATATCAATTTTTACGGAGTTGTGTTTTTTTATTTATTTATTTAAAAGCAGAACCTATACTTTAAGTCGTTTTGAATATAAGTACCGAAGAAATGAACATCTAAGTGTGGCATTATAATAAAAAAAAATTATGAATCAATTGATAGATCATTAATTTAAACTAGATTTATACACGTTTTATTTTGATTAATGTTTTAGCTTATGAGGATGGGAGCGAATTCGATGAGGATGAATTTGATTTAGATGAGGATGAATTTGATTTACATGAGACTGGTATTGACCAAGTGTAAGTAGCTATTTATGAAATCTTGTTCCGGATAACCTTCGTTCAATGATGTATGCGTAACTAGAATACAGAAAATTCAATTCCTGAACAATTTGTTCTCTATTCGTCCATAATACTCACCCTAAAATATAAGTATAATGATTTTAAAATTATACAATTATGAATTTTAATAAGAGTATATTTCTTACATACGGTCGACTGCATTTAAAGAAATATCACTTTTAATAAGTTCTTTATAGTGAGGGGATGTAATTTTTGACTATGTCAACCTTCGTCTATCAAAAGGTACCTCTTGTTAGAATCAAGTTAACATGTCTTATTATACTAGAGAATTGGTATTTAATATTTATAATGGTAGTTACGCCACAATAGTAACCATACTCATTGTTCTCCATGCGATTAATTGAAGTCAAGAAATTTAGATTCAATAGCACGGAAAAATGTTTTGAGTAATTGTTTCTAAATTATGTTTTTTAAACACTTAAAATATTATTTAGGACATTACATGAATCATGGGAAATTTATACATAAGGTCCGACAGGTATTTAATATTTAGGCAACTTCTATAATTCTAATACTTACTTATAGAAAGTGTTCCTTAAAATCAGAATAAAAAGTATATATATAAAAGAGCAACAAACATTTTTAGAACTTATATATAGATATTTTAAGAAAAATGTACGACTCCTAAATATTGTGTATCTATTTTAGAAAATATATTTTGAATCAAATTGAGCAGAAAGTGAATTTCAGAGAAATTTTCGTATCACTTTCACACTAAACTGATCTTACAAAAATCAATTTTAGTAAACATTTTTCTTTTAAAATTTTAGCTTTGATAGTGAGGATGATGGGAAAAAGCTGACAGTGGCAGCTAATGATGTGTTTAATGATAATGATGACTATGAGTCTGAAAGGTATAATCATTCGAATTGTATATAAATATTTTGGTAATAATTATTTTAAATGTTTAATATAATTTTCTATGCACCTGAATTGTGAAATTTCTAAAAGTTCATTCTTTTAATCAGAAATTATTTGTTTGATTTTGTTTCAATTTTGGATTTTGCTATTATTGTTTAACACAAGGAAGAATTTGTAAATCTTGATATTCAATATTTTTTTGATCCAAAGTTTCAGCCGCTCTTCTGGAAAAAATTATTGGGACCCTATTTTCGAGTTTCTTGTTTACTATCTTATGCTTTGGGGGACAGGAATTCTTTGGGGAAAAACACGTTATTTTAGAGAATGTACGTTTTTCTGTCCAGTTTTATACCTTAAAATATGGTTTACAAAAATAATTATTCAGCATATTTTATGCTAACCCTACAAACCATAAAAACTGCATATGATACGAGAAAATCCGGTCATAAGATCAAACGTTATTCAGGTATTCCGTTCTATTTTGTCTGTAAGAAACTCTGATTATCAGTTTCAAAAACTAACGTCTCTAATAAAAAATATACTTTTAATACAGAAGCTGGTTTTAATTAAATTGAGCCTATTCAGAACCCGAATTCTGATTGCGTTACTGTATTTGTGTGGGCTTACTTCACCTTGGAAACTAAAAGAAACTCTGATTATCAGTTCCAAAAACTAACTTCTGTAATAAAAAATATACTTCTACTATAGAAGTTGGTTATAATAAAAATTGACCCTATTCAGAACCCGAACTCAGAACCCGTTACTGCATGGTGTGGGCTTAGTTATACTTGGACAGTTCATCTTTGAAACTCTCTCGTCAAGACCCCAAAACGTGCTCTGTTATAATTGTATGGTGCGGTGAGCTCCTTCGATAGAGGATCATTCACGGCAATATTTGCAGGAGCGGCACGGAACGGTTTGCAGACCATTGTCTTTATGCAAGTTGAAGCAAATCTTCACATTGGACGCCAAGTCAATAAACCGTTTCGCGTTAACTTTGGCGAGGATCGTGTAATGTACAATTTTTTTTCATTTGTCTGGCCTCCTCGTTCACCTGACTTAAATCCTTGTGATTCCTATCCCTACACATAATCCTACTTTATAGGGCGTGTTTAAGGTGGAGGAATGCAGGACCCTACATGAGTTTAAAGCCAGTATTACATGACATGTTGCTGAAATCCCTCGAAAGTTTCTTCGCGCTACCACTGAATATATAATGCATTTTCAGCACGTAACACTGAGCGCACTTTGAGCACATTCTGTAATTGAACAAATTTCGATGATTCTGAGAATCTTTTTGTTCTTTAGGTGCAACAAGTGTGATAAAATTTGAGCTGTTCTTTTGTTGCGTTAATCATTTCCCCATGGTCCATACAAAGTAAATACAAAGTTTCATTCAATTAGTGCAACGGGTTCCCAGAAGGCTCTGAATGTGGTCACTTTATGTGTGACCACCCTTTATTTAAGAAAATATTTTTCGTTTCTCAATTTAGTGACGAAGAATGTATGATGGAATTAGAGGCTGAATTGCCAATGTTTGATGAGGAGGATGAAAGTGATGATGAATTTGATGATGATGAGGTTGTTGAGAAGGGAGTTGTTGTTGATGGAGAAGTGTTTGATTGTGAAGTCGTAGGTGAAGTAGTAGTTGAAGAAAAAGTTGAAGATGACTTCACAAGGTATATTAATTAACAAAATTTTTACGGTAATTTAATATTTCTGTAAGAGTTTCAAGTGTTTGAGTTATTTATCAACGTATCTACTTTTGCAGCTACATTAGAATTAAAGTGTTATATAAATATTTAAATGGGCCGAATAATTAATAGAATTAAAGTGTAATATAAATATAAATATTTAATATACACTTAGGCCTTACATAAAAATGTAGCTTATTATTTTATTAAACTTGAATCAACGATACAAACTATCAAACATGATCTTATGACATATGTACAGAATAAATGCGTGCAATATATTAAAAAATTTAATTTCCTGCTTTGGCAGGGAAAAAAATGGATAATTAAATTATTAACAGGATGTTAACTTAACAATATTTTGAATATATAAATGCTAATACTACAGGAATTGCAAACACAACAGTTAAAAAAATTTTTCAAAATGATTCTGAGAATTCTCTGATGAGAATTATTTTTCAAGATTTTAGTAGGAAGCAAAGAAAAAGTGGGTTTACAGAGTGGGTCAAATACTTTCATATTTTCTCCAGAATTGTTTTTCAGAATCTTCAGATCATTTTTATTGGGGACACATACTTAAGCTACAAATTTATGTAGTGATTTGTAGAGCAAGGTAGGAAAAAAAGACAATAAGTTTAACAATTAAACTTAACAAATTCAATAAAGAAAGAAAATAAGTATAACAGCGACATCGATAGCACAGAGCTGCCTACACGCAGCGTTGCAGAACACAGGCTGACGACTGAAATTAAATAGTTCTAGAGAAAATAATAAGTCAATTAAATATTCCGGGACTTTTCCCGTTTAGATACTTGGCACTATGGATTCCGGGAATTTTCCCTTGTAGACAGTCCGGCACTTTTCAACAAAAAAGTAAATGGTTTCGAGAATGATGGTCAATTACAATTACTACATTTATTTAACAAAAACATTGTATTTTACTTGTAAATTTAATTTGTTTTTTCCTTTTTTTTTATCTTTAGTGATGCACGTGTTTATCCAACTTACCTATTTACTGAGGAAATGATAGCGAGATTGTACAAGTTGGATACAGTGCATGAAAAAGATTCTATCGCATATGGAATTCCGGACATAAGGTATTATTTTTTTTCAAAAATTTTGATCATACTGAGTGATTCAGAACAGAACTTGACTACTTACAAACTTGAAAGGCATATCATAAGGATTGAGAATTGCATAGCGACCCATGGCTCACCGCAAATGGTGCCTCCTTATTATGAATAGGTTGCTTATGTGCATTTGAAATGGCAATTTTATGTTAAATTTGTGTTTTTCTGTAATTATGTTAAAAATTATAAATCAAATAGGCCCTGAGAGAGGTGTTTTGTCGTAATTTAATGCTATGATGACCAACTTGGTGAATTTAACATGCTAGTCCACACATTATTAAATTACGATGAAAAGGTATTTTGGGACCTACTTGGATGCGATTTTCAACGTTATCAATAAGAAACGTAAAATTAACCTGGAACTAAGTTTATTTATATAAATAAAAGTACCACGCGTTCTACGTATGCGCGAACAGCATGAAATATATCTTTGTTAGTTGCATGAGAAATCAATTTAATTTTAAAATCCATTGAATCTAAGAGATTTTTAATGCATGAAATGTCGTGACTGTGAATTTAAATTCATTTTTATTATGCAAATTAGTTGGCAACACAATGTTGTGTATTTCGCAATATTTTACAATGATGATAAATCTGACCTAGTTCCTTACTAGGGAAATAGGACAGTTATGATATTTGACATAAGAAATGATATTTGACAATTAATTGCTGCCTCCTTAAATTTAACATTGAAAATTGATCTGATGGTTGAATTTTATAAACATTAAAGGAAAACTTTTTTTCTAAATTACTCCCCTCTGGAATTAAAAATAATCCTAATTCCGTTTCAAAGGACTGATCAGTTACAATTTAAAGAACTGAAAAATTAAAAAAATGAAATAAATTTAAATTAAAAGGACACATTAGTTTAAAATAAACGGAATAACACTTTAAAATACAATCTATAAGTATTGGTGCTCAAATCAACTACAATGGCACTTATAAGATACATATGAATACCTCATAATTTAAATAAAAATCAATTTATTAACTTTAAAAACGTTAGAAAATTGAAAAAGAAATTAACAATAACTTGATATTAAAAAAAATAAACTATGAAAAGAAATCATAATTTAAAATATTACTTCTAATGCATCAAGTTTTAGCAACTGAAATTAAAATTTTCATTTATAAACATTTTTAAATATGTGTTTTCAGAAATTTAACTGAACTAAATAACAATTAATTCTTAAAATTAATTACATTTCAACAACAAACATATGTAACAAAAAATTTTGGTGAGCTTCTTATAACGTGAATATTTTTTTTTTTTAAATTTTAGATTGGAAAAACACGATGGTTTCTTCATAAGAGAGAAAATACATTATTATGATATCAGTGATATTGATCTTAACATCATCGAACATGTTGAAAAGAAAATTGAGAAAAAAGGATGCTTCAGTTTTTTCTCCAGAATTTTCAACAGATTTTTCAAAAAATAATAAGCAAGATCAATCTGAAGTGCCATCGTTTACCATCTTAAAAAGTTTACACATGCTGTTTCCGACAAAATTTGACATTCATATAAACATATTGTCGTGATACTTGGAAGCATGTAAAATTGTTTATCCCGAAATTGACATTTAAATAATACATTGCTGTGATTATGATATCTGTAAATTGTCTATCGCAGAAAATATAATATTTGGCAAGATTAAAGTGTCTTTTATTTATATTTAGACTAAGAAAACATGTGTCTAGTTTACATGTCATCACTTAAGTGTAAAAAAATACTATTTATACATAGATAGATAGATAGACCAACATTTATACCTACTTTTTTTCAATATATCTCATCTTACATTTTATTTCAAGTTAGATGAATCGAAAGTTACATGCTAGCGGTCATAGCCAGCTGTTGAAGAGTTAACAGCTACAAGAAAGAAAAGAAAATGACTAATAATTACAATACAGTTCTTACCAAATAATCAACTGAAGAACTTTAATCGATTTAATAATACAACATACAATCATCATAATCGAAATATATCTGGGTGCCTGGGGCCGTTAGCGGCCTTTTACCCATTCGTCTTGTATTGTGGTCTTTAAGATGGTTCTTTCTGGTAATTGAAATGCAATTGGAATAAAAGGAGATTAAATATTTTGTATTTCAGTTAAAATTTCGTCACTATAAAAATGAGCTGCCATGTGTCTGAGTAATACAACATACCCTCCAATAACCACGGAATTTCTAATTTTAAAAACTTTTTTTTTATAGTTGTAGTAAATGTTACATTAATATAATGTTTTAATGAATTAAAATGTTTAAAGTTTTTGACCACCACTGCAAATAAATAATTTAAACAGATGTATAATAGGACAAATGAACAAATGATGATGATCATATCTTTTATTAAGAAATCAATCATAATTTATCTTGTTTCATGTCTAGGTTCATTTTAATAATCAATTACAAAATTAAAAAGCAAATTACTCCTTTATAAGTTGAGCACTGATCTAAGTAGACCACCAAGTTGTATAAGTAACCAACTTACACAGGTTTTACTCTAATACGAGGGTTGCTATTTATATTTCTGGCCTAATAATGAAATAAAAAACAATTATGTAGGATCGAAATTGGTTTTATTGTTTTTCAAAATATTCTCCATGATGATCAATGCACTTTTGCATGCGTTTGAACCAATTTTCAAAGCACTTTTTCCAGTCCGATTGAGGTAACTCCAAAACATGCGTTTTGAATGCATCAACCGCTTCTTCGGGGGTCGAAAATCGTTGTCCACGTAATTTATTTTTGATGTGTGGGAATAAGAAGAAGTCATTGGGTGCCAAATCAGGGCTGTACGGCGGATGACCCATCAGTTCGATCTTTCGCTCCGTCAGAAATGCCTTTGTTTGAGTCGATGTGTGAGAGCTCGCATTGTCATGATGAAGAATGATTCGCCTGTTCTTCTGCTTTTTTCGAATTTCTCCGATGACTTCTGGCAAACAAATGGTCGTGTACCATTCAGAATTGACCGTCCTGCGTTGCTCTAACGCCACTGTTGCCACATGACCGTTAATGCCGAAGAAACAGGCAATCATTTGTTTCGATGTGCTTCTTCCTCGAACAACTTTTGTTGGTTTTGCCTCGTCTTGGAAGACCCATACAGTTGATTGCTGTTTTGTTTCCGGCTCATATGCATAGATCCATGATTCGTCACCTGTGTAGATGTTATACACAGCCTTTGATGTACCTTGAACGTATTTTTCCAACATTTCCTTGCACCAATCGACACGAGCCTTTTTTTGAGCGTTTGTCAGATTATGCGGGATCCAACGCGAACAAATTTTTTTTACGCTCAAATGTTCATGCAATATTTTATTGATGCTAGTCATACTAATGTCCAAAGACGCCTCTATCTCACGGTATGTCACATGACGATCTTGCTTTATCAGTTCACGCACAGCATCGATCTTTTCTGGCACAACAACGGATTTTGGACGACCTGCACGGGATTCGTCCTGGATCGAACATCGACCACGATTAAATTCGTTATACCAATTTTTTACAGTGCTGTAGGATGGCGCTTTATCGCTGAATAAAGAATTAAGTTCATCGAAGCACTCTTGTCTTGACAATCCACGTCGAAAGTTATGAAAAATAATGGCACGAAAATGTTCACGATTCAATTCCATTTTTTGAAAGAGAAGAACTTTTCAATTTACTGTCAACAACACAAATGAAGCTATAATGGTAAATCGTCTGCTGAATTTATGTTTAAAAATATCAAACTTTCGATTAAAATCGTCTACGGTCGCCTAGCAACACTTACTGTTGCCAAGGCCAGAAATATAAATAGCAACCCTCGTACATAACAAAAGTATTATTATTATTATATGAAATTAGCATCCACATGAATTCGCGCAGAGCAATGGTATAAACTTGATGCTTATTATTTTTTATAACTATTCGAATAGTGAAATAATCCTCGATGTGGTTTGTCGATTTTCTTTTTCAATTGTTATTTCCTAAAAGCGATGTTTAAGAGTTTCAGAAGATCAACGGCTAAAACCCCTAAATCGCTCACGAATAATAGCAACAGATTAACAGTGAAGCGTGTTATGTCTACCATTTCTGTAAATTGATGACCTTTCTAAGTTGATCTTAATGATCTATTACAAAACTGGCACAAACAATTAAATTTCCCCTTTATAAGTTGACCACCGAATTGTTGTCCCACGAGTGATCGATCATCTTGCACAGGTTTTGGTGTACAATTAAAACATTAATATTATATTTGAAGACATGGAAAATGATGCAGCGGCACGCAGTTTAGGAACCAATTCAAGTTTCTTCTGTTGTTCTGTTTAAAAACTTAATCAAACAAAAATTCAGTTTTTTTAAAACTGAGAAAATGTTCTAAATTTTTAGAACGTAATCGTGTCTCTTCAACCAGCTCGTCGCAAACAAAAACAAACTCATGATCTTGAGGATCTATAGGAGACCAGTTAAACCTGTGTATGTTGGCCGCTTGTGGGACAACAATTGGGTGATCTTGTTTACACAAATGGTCAACTTATAAAAAGGGAATGCAATTGTTTTGCCAATTTTTGTAGCTTTCGTCTTCCAATGAGGTGAACCGGGTTCGAATCCCAGCTGGTCGATGCAAATTCCGCATCCGGCTTGCACCGACCGCAGTGCTGACGTGAAATATCCTCAGTGGTTAGGCGGATCATGAGTTAGAGTCCCCTTATCGTCAGTCTAACCGTGAGAGGTTTGCATGGTCTTCCTTTCCATGTAACGCAAATGCAAGTTGGTTCCATCAAAATTTCTCCCAATATTTGATCCAGGAGTTCTCTTGTCTTCTGGTTTGGGTTCAAAATTCAAGGCTACGTAGTTGAACATTAGTAGTCGTAAACCCATAAACTGTGTCGACTCTTCAACGACGGTTATTAAATAAAATAAACAGTGGCGTACGCAGAATTTTTTCAAGGGGGGTGTTCATAATTTTCTGAAACTACTAAAAGAAATTCGAATCTGTTATAAAGCACAATTATTTCCCTAATTTAGACAGCTAGACAATTTTGACTTTTCATTTCGACAACATTGTTTAGTTAAATTTTGATTTAATTTTTTAAGTTTAAGAACATAATGTAATATTTTCTGAACAAGGTTTAATGTCATATGGGTGGGAAGTAACACTTTGAGGGCCACTTTCACATTCATCAGATTTTGTTATGCTAGAAACGTTTTCTTCAACGGAAGTATCACATTTCTGTACAACAGAAAAACTTACATTGGTACTAGATGGATTAGACACCTCACTAATTTCAGATCGTGATTTTTTCTCAAAATAATTAAAAATTGCTAAATTCTTGCGTTAAAAATGGTTAAATCCTAAAGATTCAAGAACAGCAAATATATGTATTTATTGGCATAGAAATATCCGCTATGCTACGATCTCAAAGTTTCGAGCTGGATTGAATAACTTCAACGAGCACAGTATCTCTGGTATTGTTACTGATTTCTTCACTAGTCGAAATACTGGCGACGACGGGTTCGGCGATTGAATGAACTTTTTGTTAAGACAAAACAAAACAGATTTAGCGACAAGTTCCGAAAAACAAGCGGAAGAGATAACTCTTAGTCTGACTAACTAACTCCACTGTACAGGTCGCGACTACCGATTTACAGATTTTAAATTAAATTTACAATGCTACTAGCCCACGGGGCTATCTACATTTTCGTCGAATTATGAATAACAATAAGGGAGGAATGGGGTCAGGGGTGTGCAGGCGTACTGCATTAAATAAGTTACAATAATTAAAATAAGTGGCGCACTATGTCGCTGTCTGGGTTAAATAATATATAAGGAAGAGTACATAAATAAGTGAAACATTGAATAAGCGAAAAAATATATACAAGTTACTAATTATTGTATATATATTTCCCCCCCTTTTATATAATTTTTCTCCGCGTCTCCAGAATTCTCGAATTGTCTCACAGACGACAAAACGTCTAGGATTCCAGAATCATCGCGTAAAGACCTCGCGAATGACAGCCAGTCTCGAAAACTATCGCGACTGGCAGAACAGAAAGGAATTAGTCCATAACAGTATCACGTGAATTTGGTTTCAAAAGTACAACCCTATTATAGTAAATGTTTTTTTCAGTATTCTGAGAAATACCGTGAGAAAAAAGTAGGCATAAGGTTAATAAAAATATATAGTCTTAAAAAATAATAGCTCACATAATTTCTACTAAAATTTTTATTTATGCCATTTTGTCAGAGCTCAAGGGGGGTGTTTAAACCCCTAAACCCCTCCCTTGCGTACGCCACTGTCCTTGCTGACATAAGGGCGGAATTCAGCTAAATTTTCGCAATTACGATGGCTCAATCAAAGTTAATCAAAAGCCTATTTTAGCAAACATACCGCATTTTGCGATATGTAAAAAATACAGGCCTTTGATTGGCCCAATGTGTCCATCGTGGGCTGCGAT